GTTTTGAACATAAATGCAGGTAATATTGCATGTCATGTGTCAGTAAATATTTTTTCCATTCATAACTGACATTCTGAGATAACCCTGTCAGGATTCAGTTGATGAAATATACACGTAGTTCCAATCATCTGTATATATAGTAACAGTGATTGACTGTAAAACATTCTTTGCAAACATTTCAATACAACACGGATGAAAGCATTGCCTGCTTGTACATTATCACATGCAGTCGATGCAATGCAATGCTCATCATTTGCAACTGTGACAATATTCGATTTAGTAAGACACATGACCTAAGTGTTGTAAGTGACATATGATATATATGATGATGTTATAATGTGTTCTTGAACATGGGAACCTACCGATAAGTGTTATTAAAAGGGGTTTGACCTGGGGCCTAAGTGTTATTGGATGCACTTTGACCTGTGTCATTGGATGTTATTTGGTGTTTTTTAACCATAAAGTGACAAGAAAGAAAGAAACGTGCGATATGTTTCAGCAAGTACGGAAGACGATCTGTAAAGAAAACGCTGTCAATTTATTTATGAATCACAGAAAATATCTAGTGATATTTCAAAATTTTAGAACGCAATACTTAATCTAATTTGAGAGACATTTTAAGGAAATTTCAATTTTTCCTGTCATGCCTAAAATGTAAAAATTGTTAGAAAATGAGCTGTTATCATGCAGTAATATAACTTCTTTAATGATCAATTTAACACAAGAAAATCCAAATTTTCTGTTTCTTTTAACAAAATCGTGTTGTTGTTTTTTTACAAAAATCAGTGATAAAAGATGGTACTGCAACAATTATAAATCACTTCCATGTTGCGTTGTGTTGTGTTGTTTTGCATTAGCCATTCAACACTATTTTGAAATACATTTGGCTGGCACCATCCAGCAGCCTGGTTGGTTAAAGGGGAACCGCTCAATCCCATGGATTGCACCAAAGAATCATGGGACACTATTGTTTATGTTGTTTACAATGTTAATCTATCTTTTGTGATCCATTGTTATTTTAATCCAGAAAGTAAATTTGTTATGAGATTAGACTTAACTGGAAGGTGCCCCTTTAACAATGTGCTTGACCCATCAGGTCAAATGACACAGTTTTGGGTCAACTTGTGCACGAGGAAACATTGTTTATATTCTTTCTTTTGACAACTAACTAAACTAATATTTTGTATGCTATTATAATCACGACTAAAAATAATCAACGTTCAAAAACAAGTTATTAGGCTGTGAAATAACATGAACAGTTTACTCTTCCGTGAACATTTACTACAAAAACAAATGAGGTAATGTTTATTTTCTTGGAAACTTGTTCTACACTTTCATTCACCAACAAAATTAAAACCGTATAATTACTAACACTTTTTTGGGGGACTGTAAAATTTCAACTTTGTGACACATATTTCTCACCTGACACTTAAATTAGAAAACCGATGATAATAGTTTTGATATCTTACTTCTGTCGTGACTATTGTATTAAGGTTATATTGGATGAAATAGTGATAAAGAAATGCACTTAAAGATCGCTCTGAATAATGTTTTGTAAGCCAGCCAAAAAATATGACCCATCCTTCAAAAGAACACCTACGATGGGGTATCAGACAAATACAGTACGGTTTAATAAATAAACCATACCGTTATACAACAGTGGCTGGAGTGAGATGTTTATGAAAATCTAATTAATTAATTAACAGAAACATATTGAAAAATACAGCTATATAACAACCAAAAATTATATTTAGTTTTGATTATATGACATGTAATTATTGTCAGGAGTTCCCAACGACCTCATCAATCAGCGTATCTCAATACTTACTTTAATATAGAATTGTTGATTTTCCCCAAATTCTCATTTATCATTTCCTAAGTACAGATATAAATAAATTATGTTTCGGCATGTTGAAATCTGATCATAATGAGCGATGGTACAGTATTTAGCATGTTCGCCTCACATCAGGAAGGTTCTAGGTTTGATTCCCGGAAAACAGAGAGTTTATTAATTTTCTTTTTAAATCTAATAATACAAATAGCCTATTCCAAATAGTGATGCTATTTAAAAGCAAAAAAAAATTACTATTATTATTTGAAGCTATTTAACCAATCAATTTAAAATGAAGATTTCAAATTTAAAACAGATGCATCTGATTTCAATTTAAAACTGACGCATCTGATTTCAAATTTAAAACCGATTGACGCATCTGATTTCAAATATCAGTTCTCCATACCTACTATGAATTAAAGCAGTCCTGTCTCAATTACACATTATTTCAGAGCATTAAGAACAGTCTACATCAAGGAAAAGCCTTTTAACCATTACACATAGATACAAGTAATATAATCTATTCATTCGTTGTACTTAGATTTTAACTTCAGATAACAGCGGGTCGTCAATTTCATTTGTACGTTCAGTATCAGTCACAACGTGATGTACAATTTCAATCTGTAGCTTGACTAACGAAAGTTAGTTTTCAAAATGATGACATAGTGCGGCAAATTATCCCCTATCCATTTAGAATCAAATTAGGTGTCGTATTTGCTCTATTAGTAGTGCATGCACTCACGTAAATTACAGAGGTTTCTATGGTCAGAATAAGTAAATTAATGATTAAGTATAAAACAAATGCAATTTCCGGTTTATATGCGCTGCTATTGGAGATGCGCTTCTAATAGAACAAACACGACCCCCAAACTAGTTTCTGAATTGTAAACTGTCAAACGTAATGTCAGAAAGTAATTCTTTCCATCCTGAAAACAAGTTTTGGGTTTTTGGTAAATCATAAATCTACCCTGGATCATTAAAAATGAAGGACTCAATGACTTACTTACATTTTGTAATATTACTGTATTCACTCTATTAGAAGTGCATTTCCAAAAGTAATAGATCTGAGCAAAAACTAAATCCAATTTCCACAAGGTAACTTTTACGTCAGTGATTGGAGCTTGTAGTAAAACCAATATATTTTTTGCACATGCTGTGCACGTGCGCTCACCTTACCGACTTTATTTACGAGCCTGAGGCATGCACACAAGCGTCATTCACTCTGCATACATGTA